TGTCTTATCTTATTTCTGCTTTTTATATTTTTGTTTGACGTTCAACAATTTTCGTTATAGAACCAATTTTCGCCGTAYCCCATTTGTATTTTTATATGTCTATTGTTTGTTTGCATTTCGTTGTGATATATTATTTTAATGATTTTCGAATTTATACTGGTTGGCCCAATAATTCTTCCGCATCTTGAAAGATACTCGCGTCCCATACTTCTGTGACATCGAACTTCAATTCCTCTTCCTGCARTTTTCTTTTCTTTCTCTCTCTTTCCTCTCTGTCTTGACCTACCAATTCTATGTAGTGCGCCATTAACGCCGTTTCAATTGTTCTTGAACTTTCTTCTGCCCTTCTTTTTGTTATCTCTCTCACAAGCTTTATGAACAACATCCGTCCCTCCAAGCTCCAGYCTTCCTTGCTTCCTACCCTACTGTCCGTGAATCGTTTTTGYGTCTTCTTTCCSTTTCCGGAATTGTTCCAAGACTCGTAGTCGTTGAACAAGAACAAGAGTGCAAAAGCCTCGTCTGTAGCGCTAAATATTTCACTAATTGTGTTCTTGTGTTTCTTTCTTTTAAAGTCGCTCGTTTTGTTTTGGTGATACTGCTCCCAATACCCGTCTCATGAAATACTCGAACTCCGGTGTGTTTTTTCTTCTGTATTCTGGGTTCAACACAAACAACGAGTTGTCTTTGCTTTCCATTATGAAACATTTTCCTGTGAATGTAGGGGGAACGACACCGTTTTTTTATCGTCTGAACGTTTGAATGACGGAAGGATGGAACAAGGACATGGTTAGATTGATTTTATCTTAGCAGTGTTTTCCATGCACCRCCTCTGTTCTTACCCTTGTAATTTTTTCTAGCCAGTGTCTGAGCGTTATGTCTGCACGCAGTTACTGCCCCGTTGATCGTCCCCGCCCAACAACCGGCAGACATTACTAGGCCAGGTGGTGCTAGTAGTACTACTACTAGTAGTWCTACTAGTAGTACTAGCAGGGGCATAAATATGGGGAGATGAATGCTCCTTCTTGTTGCTCCAGGAGGCGACACGCATCCCTCAACTGTAATGCTTCTAAATTAATGTAATTTGATACTATTCCAAATGGCCAAATAGTGCTAAAAAAAGTCCACTGAAGTTGACCATAGAAAGACGTATTATGCAGAAAAACTGAGAATTAAAAATTCCTTGCGTAACTTCTTGGAAATTTGGACCACAGGTAGAATATGAGTTATCGATGCGTTGCGCACCCCTTTAAATTACGACCCCTGCTGTCTACCGGTACGTAAATACATACCGTACCGCTCGACGCATTTCAGAGAAGAAAAGATGGAAAAGTTGGACCTCTAGTCGAACTTTATAAGTGAAGTTACGTTTTTACTGGTTTATTATCGTCAGCAGTGTGAAACCCAAAGTGCGCTTAAGTAAAGGTTGTCGTTGCAGTATGCGATTTATTTAATTATTGKATAATGATACCTTTGAAAAGCGTTCCCTAAGCATTTAATCGTTTTTTAAATTAACGTAATTTCATGCAAGAAAATCTTAGAATGAATTTCAAGCTTCACTTATACACAACTGATAGTGCTTCTTAGATGTTCTTCATTCAAATGCTTAGTTGAGGCTTCCATAGCAACTATCTTCAGGATAAAGCCTCCACGTGCACTACTTACAGATATGACATAATGTACCGTGCTGAAAGTTGGAAGATCAAAAGTATTCTCTTCACTGCTCTTACGTGCACTTTAAATAACCGCCGAAGAGAATCCAACACATATGGTTCTTCGCGCGGGAGAGCCAAAACGGTTTCTGTGATTTCTGCAAGCTCTTGGCCAATGAGAATTGATCATTAGAAACAGTACTGTTTTTATGTATCACAGGCAACTCTGAACCCAAAAATACGGGATACCGGTTGACACGGCTACTAGACAGTTTCTCGTACCGGTGCTACTGTACTGTACGGGACAGCCCCTCAGTGTGAACCAAGCAAAAAAATCTTATCATCAGGCAGCCTCCGAATTTGACTTCATCTTGTCGTGGTGCTAGATCCTCTGTGCAAACGGCCGATCTAAACATTCTTTATTACCACAACAGTGCCGTATCGAAGTTGAACGGGATTCCAACAATAAGAAGCATATTGGTAGCTTTCTAAATCCAGCGCAATCAACGATCTTAAGGTTATCAGGTCTCTCAAGATGGACTTCACTTCTCGTTATTGCCGAAGACGGATCGAAGGGTCAATGACCTGCCCGAGTGCTTCTATTGCGGTTAACTGTTGCCAATTGGCTTGTTGCATCCCAACAATCCCTGCGATAGATTTTCCGATTAGTCTCCATCCTGACTGGATGAGCAATCTAGTTCAGAGTGTTCCGGAGATTGCCCTGGGAGATATTGTAATCCCCGGAACTCACGACTCTGCGTCGTATTCCATTCCAACCTACCAGTTYTTCTCTGCTGTCGGAAGGACCCAAAATGTGTCTGTCCTGGAGCAATTGCACCGTGGTACACGTGCGCTTGATTTGCGCATCGCTGGTTCTGGAAATGATGTGTACTGCTTCCGAGGGTGCATGAAGGGTTGCAAGCTTTCGCGTATTTTGGAAGACGTTCATCTTTTTTGCCAGGATTTCCCTGGTGAGTTCTTGGTCATCAAGGTCGTTGCAGAATATGGCCGTGCATTTGATCCAAAATTGAAGAAAAAGGCACTGGATATCATCCAATCTTCTTTGGGAGATAAATTATTCAAGGGGCCTACGGTTGATAAACTTCTGGAGACGCCTTTGAAGGATTTGACTAGCAAAGGCACCCAAGCTTGTGTTATTCTTCACCCTCGAATTTACGAAGATTTCACAGTTGGAGGCACTGAGTACAACGACGCCTATGTTGCCAAAGAGTACAGCTGTTTTAATGCCGGCGATTGGATGGAAGACAAGTGGTAGTAAGTACTTTTCTGGACATGAGCTTCATGATGTTGCGAAGCACAATTTCTTTCATTCTCAAACTATTTATTCTATTAATGTCGTTGTCATTGATATCCAGTAATACCAAAGATTCGAAGCAATTGCTTGAGTGGAATCTTGAAGAGGTGAAGTCTAGCGGGAAGCAAGGAAAATTACTAAACAACCAATTTGTTCTCTCTCCAGGTGTTGGAAACGCAGGCGATTTGCTCCAGCTCGCTCTTGGTTGGGCTTCTCTGCAACCTGTTTACTTGGCAAACGACCTTTACAAGCCACAAAAGAGACACGGGGCTCCAGTTCTTCACGAATTTTTCGCCCAGAATCCAAACGAAAACTGGAACTTGGTTTCTGTTGATTATGTGGATCTCACTCCAGCAATGGTTAGCCTGTTGGTTGGTATCAACTTCAGCTCCTTCGATATTATGCTGGCAACTGTCCAATACGGGAACCCAAACTTTTACCGGCCCTCGATGTCTGTTACGTCCAAAGTTCAATCGCATGTCATGCGGGATAAATGCTTGTTTTTGAATGTTGGGAAGGATTTCGGTAGCAACTTCGGAACTTTGACCTTGGCTTATCGTGTGCTTGGCAAGTTTTATTCCATTGTCATTCACTTTGATGGCTCTTCTGTAATTGTTTTGAACGAATATAACCATATGCAGGCTGGAAGCAAGGAGATTGTTATCGAAGAAGGCGCGGAAGAAGGAAGCATCAATCCTGGCGGTGGAGGTACGATCATGACATGGTCAAAGGAGGAAGATAACGGCGGGGAAATTGAATTCGATTTCGATTCTCCATTTTGATAAGGGTGAATTTTATGAAATCTCTGAAGAACCTCGTTAAAACAAATGTGACTTGAGCAACGAGCAAAAGAAGTAAATAAGAAGTAATTATAATACAAACGAAGACACGTTTTCGGAAAATCTCCTCTACAGAAGCACAGCTACTGTATCATTTTGTTGGAAATTAAAATGTGAACACGCTTTATTACAATACAAGCAGTAATTGACGAATCTGTCCCGCAACAATTCACAAATTCCTCGGTTGGTCGATCAGTGGGGACGAAGACATGAAAGGATACACCAAAATGTTAAGCCCTGTCTTTAATTTGATAGTATTTATATGCAAAATCCACACTATTAATAGTAGTCAATACTTTTACTAGCGCAAGACAACTTTCTACAACTACCCAGGAGTGCTTCATCCTATGTCTGCCAGCAGTGGTGACGAAGGGTATTGATCACCTTATTCTTCTTGGTCATGCTCTTTTGTGGGTGTTGCCTGTTGAACTAGGGGTGTTGCACCTACTAGCAGTGCAGGAATAGCCCTGGGAACCAATTTTGTCAGTGACAATTTTTGATGAGTACAGACCAGTGGTACTAGTATTACAAATGTTGGATCAATTGATTTGACCTTACTACTACTAGCCCGGTGAGTCACGAAAGGAATGTGCACAATTTTTGTAAACAAGAATTCAAACAATCCAAAATAAATGTCATCGGTACTCAGCACACAAAAAATCTCCTGTTTTTGATACCACGCCTCGCACAACCTCCTATTGTTGCTTTGATGAGCACCAAGATACATAGCCATTCGCCTCTGTTGAGTTCTACCATCAGGGTCGAAGTTCCAAACCAGTTTTATTSTTTGCCAGCAATCCTCATTTCCCAAACGCTGTCCTTCTGAATAGATTTTCTATTACTTGTAAATGAAAGCCCGCAAACCCCTACCTCACGACCATAAATTATCCAGCATCGCATTTGAATTCCAAAGTTTTATCATTTGCCGCATGGAGTAGCAAAAAATGTTTTTGTCGACAGAAAATGTCTTCAAATTTTTGGGCACAAACAAACGCAAGAATTGTTGTTGATAATATTGTTGTATGGAAAATAGATGCCTTCTGTGTAGATGAAAGTAACCGTGCTGATCTAAAACGAAGATCATTAAAATACAAAATAATTTTGACACATAGAAGTGTTTATGTGCAATTTATGTCTAAATGCGGATAAGCGTTTTGGGAAATTTTAGCGACTTTCCCCATCCCAAATATCTGTATAGATACGAATCATATCTGGTAAGGCAACGTTACGATGTAGCTCAAATGTTCGTTGCGAAGTCGCTTTTCTTATTCCCTTCATAAGTTGCGCACGCTCTACCAGAGCAGGTTTTTCGGGGACAGTTTCGACTGTCTGTTGTTTCCATTCTTCGCGAGCACGAACCCATGTTTCATAGCCACAATTGTGAAACTTTTTATGCTGTGACGACACACGTGCATTGACTACAACTTTTGAAGAACTGTCGCCATCCGTACCGTCGTTAACTTCTGGATAAACATCGATCGTATCAGGGGCGCCCACGTCTTCCCACCACTCTTCTTCTGTTGGAGGACTTTCACGGAAATTTTCTATATTCAATTAGACACATCGATAACCCGTGAAGGCGACATAGCAGAGAGGATGAGTTCAACGTGTCGTGTTCAGATTTTTCGAAGAAATGATCATTTGGAAAACTTACCCACTCTCCAAGGTGCACTATCGGTTTGAACGGAACCCCTGGAGCTCAAGCTTGAAGCTTCTGTAACAGTAGAATCTTTATTTCGAAGTATCCGTCGCTTGTGTTTCGAACCGAAAAACGTCCTGTTATTGCTAGCCTTCGGTGAAGAATCAGACGAGGAGCTAGGCGATTGAGATTTTCTTCTCCTCATATTTTTTTTGTTCATCAAAGGCATCCAGACCATTTTCGTTACGTCCCTCCTCAGATAAGAGTTTATTCTTTTAAAACCAACGAATACTTCTATTCCGATGAATTTCAAACTCTATGTCCAATTTCGGTTTATGCTATGGTTCGTATCCATGTATTCTTCCATTCATTTTGAGATGAGTGTCACAAAATGTTGAAAATTCCTCTCAACGCAACAACGCGCACCTAGTGTTGCATGCTACACGACTGGCAGGTCGAATTCTTCTCGAACAAAACTGATCCAATCGCAGCGAAAAAAGTCGAATTTATCGTTACTATTATTTTGATTGGTTCGGAGGAACTGGGCCCAGCAAAAAATAATAGTGCCGTTCTTACTGTCGTACAGTACTTTTACGTGTATGCTACGGTACGGTACGTCATTTGGTCTCAATTTTCTTGATTCTTCGTTTTTAATACCGTACCATTGTGTACGATTACCCGCACGTACGCATTTGTACTTACAAGTAGTACCACTGCGATCAGTTCTTCATCGTCCACAATTTTTTATTAGTAGTACTAGTATTAGTACCACAAGAATTACTAGGAGGAAGAAGAAGAATACTACTAGTAGTACTAGTAGCAGTCCCATCATGGAGATGATTAGTACTAGTATTTCTAGTATATGATAGTATTTATAATGAGATAGTTCTTGTTACTACTGCCTGCTACTTGTACTAGTACTACTACTAGTAGTACGTCACATACTAAACCGTTTTCATGGTGTCGCGCTAATCGYGCGGTGAAGGAGCCTCTAATTTCGTAGTTACCCCCGGTTATATCTTGCCCGCGTTGTTTATTTATTTCTGTATCAC